ACCAGAAGAGCATTGTTAGAGGCGTTCGAGAGAATATCATTGCGCGGAAGGAGTCAGCAGGGTCCGCAACGGAGTACGAGGGAGTAACGGACGCAAGGAAGTAGCGAGGGGGAGAGACAGGATGGGACAAAAAGCGTAAGGCGATGTTATAGTTGCGGGGCACAGGGTCATTATGCAATAGATTGCTTTTTCAAAGCAAAAGGTATGAAGTGCTTTAATTGCGGAGAATTCGGACACATTGCGGCAAAATGTCAGAGAAAGAACGTTAGCGAAGTCAAAAATATGTGTGATATTTCCAGACAGGATCGCCGTAAATATTATAAAAATGTAAAAATTGTTAGTAAAAATCTAATTGCTTTGATTGACACGGGAAGTAATTTGTCGTTGATACGCGAAGAGCAGTATTTAAAATTAGGATTGCCAAGCTTGACACGTCGAGAGATCATATTTCACGGTATAGGCGCAGAAAATCATAAAACTATGGGCCAATTTAATGCGGAAATCGAGATTGACGACGAAAACTTAACGATAAGCCTGTCAATGGTGCCAAATGACTTGATGCGACACGATTTGCTCTTGGGAACCGATCTCCTTGACCAAGTAAATTTGTATGTTGAAGAAGGGAAAATTACGATGCGAAAACCGCGTTCGGAAATGCAAGCATCGGATAGTCTTCCAGAAATATTTAAAATAGATTGTGTTAGCGAAGATAGCGATATCGATTTATCTCACGTGACTACCGAACATAGAGGCATTATAAAAGTTTTAATCGATAAGTATTGTTTGCGAGTGCGTCCGGAGTTTCTTTCGCACTCTGTTTATTTACGATTAATGAATCCACACGTTTATATAGCAAGTCTTTATTGCACACAAAATGCATCCTTTCATTTACAAGCCTCGCTTGGAACTCTCGCGGAGCGCCGCAACTCGGCCTCTTCTCTTACTAAATCGCAGCCGGAACTACTGACTACGCAACTCAATTTTCACACAAAAAATTAATAGAAATAAAATAAAGAATTTTATTATTAAACGCAAACATGCCGCCCGCCTTGACAAATATTCATATTTTCAACTTAACACTATTTTGATGTACGGCGAGAAATTAAAAAAAATAAAGTATAAAGTATCAAATTAACCAGTCTTGTCGATTTCACAATCTTCTGGAGGTAGAGGACAAACCTTTACAATAGGCCTCTTATAAATACTCTTACTGGTACGCACAGTTACAGTTCTTATTACATCATCCTGACCAGGATGAACGTCAACAATTTTCGCAAGCACCCATTTTAATGGCATAGTCTCATCTTCCTTTAACAGCACTAACTGTCCAATATGAAATATAACTCGCTTCTCTGTCTTCCATTTGATTCTGCCTTGACAAATAGTTAAATATTCTTTGGACCACCTAGACCAGAAATGTTGCTTCAAGCGTTCTACGAGTTGCCAACGAGAAAGTCTGTTCAGAGGTACCTCCTGAAGATCAGGTTTTGGATAGAACGTCAACGAATCTCCTATCAAGAAATGAGCTGGAGTCAATACGTTTAGATCCATTGGATCTCGGATAAAGGTGTTAACGGCCTTGAATTCAAAACTGCTTCTACTTGAGATAAAACTGTCGTCATCTCCATTAACGTAAGCGATGCATTTCCAACAGCACCTTTCAAGCATTTTTCATGGATTGCACAGCTGCTTCCACAATCCTCCAAAGTGAGGAGCTCTCGGAGGTATAAAATGCCAGGTTAAACGCTCTTCCGAAGCTGCGTGTTGAAGATTCTTATGAAATTCCGTGTCTTCAAATAAACACTGCAGTTCATTATCTGCGCCTTGGAAATTTTTTCCATTGTCAGAATACATGTTTACTATCTTTCCTCTTCTGGAAGTAAATCTTTTCAACGCTCCAATGAAAGCCTCAGAAGTCATGTCTTCTACTAACTCCAAATGCACGGCTTTTGTAACCATACATACGAATACAGCAACATATGTTTTATACTGTTTGCTGTTTCGTCGTACTCTATTCCGTACTAGGAAAGGACCGCAATAATCTACACCAGTATTATAGAAAGGTCTGACTGGATTGACCCTACAAGTCGGCAATTGTCCCATGATTTGCTGACTAGACACAGGAGATGCTTTAACACATTTCACGCACTTTCTTATAATTCCTTTGATTCCGCTTCTTCCAGCTATAGGCCAAAATTCTTCTCTTACGAAAGCCAGCGTTGCCTGAACACCTGCATGAAATGATCTTTCATGCTTATCCTTTATAATTAATTTAGTAACAAAATGAGAAGACGGCAAAATAATGGGATGTCGGGCTTCTTCAGGCAGTCGTGAATTTTCCAATCTTCCTCCTACTCTTATAATATCGTTCTTATCTAAATACGGATTTAAACTGATTAATCTGGACGCTTTAGGAACATTTTCTTTACGCCTTAACAGTCTTATTTCATTTTTGAATTCTTCGTTTTGAACCATTTTTACTAAAACTTGAGCTTTACTAAAAGTTGAGCTTCTTTTATTTCTAAAGCGGATACACAGCCTTTTTTCTGATTTTCTTTATCACATCTTGCATTATGAAAAAACCTTAGTATATAAACAATAATTCGTAATAACTTGCTTAGCGAGGAATATCTATTGTAATTTATAATCGGTTCTTGTAATGCGACAGCCGCAACCGTTATTTCTGCACGCCTTTCAGGTAAAGCTTCCGTTAATAACTCTACATCTTCTAATGGCCATTCATTTTCGTTTAAATCCAACCATTTAGGACCTTTCTACCAAAGATCCGAATCTTTCAATTGTTCAGGAGTAACTTCTCGAGAAATTAAATCAGCGGGATTTTCTTTTGATTTCACGTGATGCCACTCAGAAGATGTCGAGCTATCTTGTATTTCACTAATCCTGTTAGCGACAAATGTCTTCCACCTTTTAGCAGGCGAACTTAACCAGGCTAAAACTATTTTAGAATCAGTCTAATAATAGCGCTTGTACACTCTCATGTTTAAACTGGTCACTACTTTATTCATCAGCCTTATCAAGAGAACAGCTCCACACAATTCTAACCGTGGCAGTGATAATGCCTTTAACGGGGCTACTCGGGATTTAGAACAAAGTAAAGCAGCGATTCTTTCATTATCCTTTAGATATATACAAGCACCGTAAGCTTGTTCGCTTGCATTACAAAAGCCATGTAATTGTATTTCAGAAATACTTTCCTTTGAAATTATTAATCTGGGAACCTCTATATACTCTAATAGATACAATTGAGATTTTATTTTGCAAGATTTATGAATCCTCATCGGTACAGACTCGTCCCATCCTATATTGCACGCCCACAAAGATTGTATTAAAATCTTTGCTGCGGTTATAACTGGACCAACTAAGCCTAGAAGGTCAAATAGCTTAGACACTTCAGATAACATAATTCTTTTCGTTACTTTATTTTCTAACTTTGCCAACGGACTTTTGTAATATAGTACATCCTTGTCCGGATTCCATAGAATACCTAATAATTTTGACTCTTGTTCTTTACTTAAATCTAACGATTTGCTTTCGACTTTCTCTAGCTCTAAACTAGCTATTATATTAGACTTCCATTTGTGTAATTCAAACCCTCCGCGTGATAGCAATTCAGTTATCTGATTTTTTAAATTTACAACCCCTTGCACCGTATCGGAACCCGTTAACAAATCGTCCATATAGAAATCTGTAAGAATGGATTTTGAGGCTAGAGGAAAGTTTTCTTTCTCTAGTTCAACTAACTGATGCAAACATTTTATCGCTAAGAACGAAGCAGGTTTTGTTCCATATGTCACCGTGAGTAACTCGAATTGTTGCACTTGCATGCTAGGATGTTCCCACCAAAGAATCGTCTGTAAAGGTGTGTGATCTTTATGAACTAAGATTTGCCTATACATCTTTTTTATATCTGCACATATCACGTACTTGAAACACCTGAATCTCATAATTATTGAAAATAAATCGGATTGAATTATTGGACCTTTGTATAATGCATCATTTAAAGACAAACCTTTGGAATCTTTGCTAGACGCATCAAACACTACCCGCGTTTTTGTTGTTGAAGCATCCTCTCTTACTACTGCTTGATGAGGAAGAAAAATTCTCTTTGCATTTAATGCAGGTTGTGACGATGCGCCTATCACTCATCGTCCCTACCAACCAAAACATAGGCGCGACCAGTATCGACGACAATGTAGCTCCCCAGCGTGGGGACCGCTCCCACCGTTATCGCTCGAGAGTGGGAGACCCAAGCCGGGTATATAAGCCAGCTCGGCCGACACTTCGCGCCCTGTCCCGATCCGGTATCCGACCAGACCACATCTCTGGGTGCTCCCGAGATATACTTGCTCCGACTTCCGCGACCGTCGACAGAGCCGGGTGCGCCCGCTCTGCTACCTGGGTTCTCCCGGTACTTGGCAGTTCGGCGATCGCCGCCGACCGAGGCGGGTTCTCCCTCTCGTTTACCAGGGTGCTCCCGGTATTCGGCGTTCCGGCGATTGCTGCCGACCGAGACGAGCTCGTCCTCTCGTTTACCAGGGTGCTCCCGGTAAACGACCCCTCCAATTCCGCCGCCGACAGGGTCGGGTTCTCCCGCTCTGCTGCCAGGGTTGCTCCCGGCATTCGGTCTCTCCGATTTCCCCACCGACAGGGCCGGGTTTTCCCGCCCTGAAGCCAGGGTTCTCCTGGCGCGTGGCGCGCTAGGCCGTCTTAACGGAGACGGGTGCTCCCTCTCCTGAGACCAGGGTTCTCCCGGCACGCGGTTGTATTATATAAAGTGTAGTTATCGTTAGTTTAGTGATCGCCGTAGACGTAAGAGAGATCGTCCGCGCAGAAGCGCGCATTGTATTCCTCAGACAACTAAATAAACGAAGCTTTAATATATCTCACGGAGTGATTGATCACGCTTCCCTCCTTCTCTCGAATCCTGACTCCGGCGAGCAGATCCGCGGCGTCGAGAAAGGCGAACCGTTAAAAGGTTCTTTAACTACTCTTATATGTCCTAACTCGATATATTTTTTCATGAAATTAACGTATTCTGATTTAAGATTAGGAGCCTTTGTAAATTTTCTTTCTAACATCTTAAGTCTTTTCATCGCTATATCTTCCAATTCTCCTAATTGATCTACCACCTTTTGATTCACGGGTAACTTTACTATAAATCTACCTTCTGCGTTCCTATCATAGCTATTCTTGAAATGTTCTTCCACATATTTGTCTTCGTCATTTAGATTTTCTTGACTTATACAATCTTCTACTTGCCAAAATCTATTTACCGCATTATACAAATCTTCTTCTGTACTGAAATTGCAAGCCGTTTGCAAACCTTTGTTATCGTGTACGTCAATGACTACTGATATTATCCAACCAAGCGTGGATTTTTGCAACGTGGGTTTGGTTTTACCGAGTTTTATCTGCCCTACACAGATGAGGTCCCAAAACTTTTCCGCGCCTATCAACAAATTTATTTCCCTTGATACATAAAATTCTGGATCAGCTAATCTGATATTGTTAGGTATATCTATTGCAGATCTATCTATTTTAATAGTCGGTAAATTCTGTGTGAGGCATGGTAAAACTACGCATTTTAGATCCGTACTAAAAGAGTCAAATCTCGAAGATATATTTAAATCAACAATTTTTAATGCACTAGAAACTTGCTGATTGATCCCATTAATTTTTATTTGAGTTTTGCTACCGCGTATTCCTAGTTTGTTTACGAATTTTTCTGTAACGAAATTTGACTGAGATCCGTTGTCTAACAACGCTCTTGCTTCAATGAATTGACCGTCTTTATCCCTTATTTTTATTACAGCGGTAGAGAGCAACACTTGCTTTAATTTACTGATTTCTTCCAATTTAGTATGATTGCATGAAACACTATCTAATTTATCTTTATCTTTACTCGCGTCTTGCTCTGACCTTTGTTTCAACTGTTTTTCTTTGTTCTCTTTATCCTCATCATTTTTCAAATGTAATAAAGAATTGTGTTTTTTATTGCATATTTTGCAGCTACTCGCTACACAATCCTTTGCCATATGATTATATCGCAGACAATTTAGACACAACCCTTTTGACTTTACATAATTAGTACGTTCTGCCACGGATAGAACCTGAAAGGCTTTACATCGATAAATCTGATGATTATCTTTATAATAAGAACATCTCACGTTACTCGTAGTAGTATGTGCGGCTGTGATCTTATTGTGACCAGTGATACGTGAGCTTGTACTTACTTGATTTTGTTGACTTCGATTTGCGATCGCTTCCAACGTTTGACATCTTTTATTCAAAAATGATATTAATTCCTGGAAACTCAGCATTAGCGTAGGCTCTAACGTATTTTCCCATTCCTTTATTGATAAGATATCTAGCTTGCCGATTACTATATGAATAAGCAAATTGTTTCATTGTTGAGTGGGTCTCTTCAATGCCTGTAAAGCTCGAGTATGTTTTAATACACCATCTAGAACTTGCCTGATAGCCGTACCATTTTCCTTTCTTACGATAGGTAAATCAAATATTGCCTTAATGTGCGTTTGAATAATTAATCTTTGATTGTCATATCTTCTTGCAATCTAGTCCAAGCATTCTCGTAATTTAAGCCCGAAATTTCTAACGAAGATATAGTTTCTGCGGCCTCGCCTTTTAATGCCGACTTTAGATAATGAAATCTTTGTACGTCATTTAACGAACCGTTTGAATGTATTAATGAATTAAACACATCAAAGAAAGCATACCAATCTTCGTATAGACCAGAAAAGGTAGGCAACTCTATTTTGGGCAACCTAACAAAATTATTATTGTTGTTACGTGTATTTCTCTGCGAGTTATCTGATACTTCTTGACCTACTTGGTTTAATCTGTCCTCACTTATAGCTACTCCTATGTGACTCTTTATTAATTTTGTAGCAATTAATTTTAAGTGAAGAAATTTGTTTTCATAACCTTCTAACTTTTTGTCTAACTCGTCATCGCTTGCATTATCATCTAAAAGACCTATTTCCATTTGGACTTCTGATAGTGATTTCCATGTCTCCTCTGCTTTGCTTATTCTTAATTCAATCTCGTCAATGTCAACGTTACTCGAATTAATATCTTTAAAGAAATTTTCAGATCGCGTTAAACTAACTTTTAATATTCTTTTTCTTTGTTTCAATTTAGCTAAACATTCTTCGACTGAAGATGCCATGGTTATACGTTAATGATTATTATTCACGCTTAAACAATTTACTGAATTTTGCTTTTACTTATCTTAAACAGTGTGACTATTAGTGACTTAACGCTTTCGATTACTCTTGTTTTGCTTTGCTACATTCTTTTCGATGAGAATCCTTTGCTTCTTTGGTTCGATTTCCCGTGTTGAGATCCCTCGGTCTTCACGTATGCAGGAATAGACTCGCCCGCCTCGCTGGTGAAATGGACTCGTCCGCCTTGCAGGAATGTATTTTCGACTTTGTAATATAGAATCTTCGCTAAGATTCTACCGCTGCCTTGCGGCCTAATGTATGTGATTTCCTTTGTATTGGACAATCACTCTCTTCTTATAGACACCCGCGTGATGCTTGCAGGATATCCACAGGTTGCTTATGAGATCTCGTATTCCGACCGTTGTCGTTGCCACACCGATCTTCCGTATGTGTTCCGATCAATTTACAATTGATCCGGCTCGAAGGACCATGTTTGCGAGTGCGTCCAGAGTTTCTTTCGCACTCTGTTTATTTACGATTACTGAATCTACACGTTTATATAGCAAGTCTTTATTGCACACAAAATGCATCCTTTCATTTACAAGCCTCGCTTGAAACTCTCGCGGAGCGCCGCGACTCGGCCTCTTCTCTTACTAAATCGCAGCCGGAACTACTGACTACGCAACTCAATTTTCACACAAAAAATTAATAGAAATAAAATAAAGAATCTTATTATTAAACGCAAACAAGTATAATCCTAACAAAAAGCACGAGATAGAAATTAAAATGAATATAGTTCTTAGAGATAATGAACCAGTATATCAGAGACCTCAGCGCTTGTCACCCGGAGAGAAGGAACAGGTGAACGCGCACGTGAACGAGTGGCTGGCCAATGGTATCTCCAACCATCGCTTTTAGAATACGCGAGTCCAGTGGTTTTAGTAAAAAAAAAAGACGGGGGAAACAAGGTTGTGTGTCGATTATAGGCAGTTAAGCATAAGGATAATAAAAGATCGATACCCACTTCCGTTAATTGACAATCAGTTGGATGCTCTTCAAGGAGCTACGGTATTTAGTACAATTGACTTGAAGAACGGATTTTTCCATGTTTCGGTGGAAAAGGAGAGAAGAAGGTATACTTCTTTTATAATTCCAGACGGTCAATATGAATTCCTTTACGTGCCTTTCGGTTTATGTAACTCCGGCAATATTCCAGAAGTTCATAAATTGGGTATTTAGGGATTTGATTAAAGACGGCGTGGTTTTGACATACATGGACGATTTAATTATTCCGTCCACGGATTTTGAAATCGCGTTAGTAAATCTTGAGAAAACCTTGTGCGTTGCCGAAGACTTTGGATTAAATATTAACACTGGAAAAAAGTGTCAATTTCTACAGACTAAAATCGAA